TAGCAGAAGATGGCAACTCTTATACACGATGTCGCGGAGAACCTAACGGGTAACCGGGGCCCCGGCTCGACGTGCAGGAGAAGGAACGGGGTGGTTTTTAGTCAGTAAGAGTCTGACACTCCCTTCCGCCTCACCCAGGCGGGAGCAGTCATTCGATGATTATCCCCCCTTAAAAACAAAAAACTCTTATACACGATTGTGTTAAAAAGTAATCTATTGTTTTCCGTCCCTTTTATGTGAACCGAAATTGCCACAAGTGTTACCTAGGTACCTAGGTACATTAAAGTTATAGAAAACATTAACTCAGACAATAGCGTCCATACAAAACATTATATCACCATTAGGTACCAGTACCAGTAGGTAGGTATTTTTAGCCAGTTCTACGATTATTAATTAACTACAACGTTTTGAAAAAAGAAAGAGAAATGTTCATGTAATACTAAGTACCTATTACATTTTTTATGAAATAAACCGGTAAACGAGCAGGCGGATCATATGATGGTAGTGATGGTAAGCAATCGACGCCGCCCATGGACTCCTGAAACACTAGACCATAATTGCGTACCGGCCTTTTGGGGACTAGGTAGTTGTCACAAACGTACGGTACCTACGTGGGGTGCTACTTACACAGGGCAAGTGCAAAATATATTTAGCAAAAACTTACAAGCATTCTGCTCCTCTACCTACCCTATAATGGAGAATAAACTATACCTACAAACAAAATATTTATACAATGTAAAGCAGCAACTTGTTACGTATCTACAGTTTATATTAACATAGGAACATCACGTCATTTTATCCTTGAAATAGTAGGCATGTATAAATGTAATACCCATTTTTAACCACATATGTTATAGGTTCCAAATAAGATTGGATCCACATTACCAGACTCTATGTTGTTACTGAGAAATTCTCGTAAATCCTAAAAGAAAAAAACATTTTGTCTAATCCGGGAATCGAGTCCGAACTTTTTGTGCGGCATACAAAATTTTGTCTAGACTAGACCAATGAGTCAAGTAATTATAAACTTATAACGACTAAAATTATGTTCAAACTATAAAGCCCAAAATGTTGCTACGAGTTCTTGCTACGAGATTACTACGCGCCTACGACATGTTGTTTGTCATAAATCGTAATATTTTTTAATTTAAACTCATAAATAACCTCGTTGTCGTGTCTGGTCTTAGGTTTAATTTCCATTTCGTATTAATGAAAAAATCGCATGCATATTGTCTGAAATTGCAGCCATCGTACGATGAAAATACGTTCGGGTCATAATACATGGAACTAATACAAAAAATCTTACTAAAGTTAATATTCCACCACAGTATACCTATCCCTTCGTAGAAGAAAACGTGTGATTTTAAATTATGTTCATAGGAAATAATAGAAATAATAGAGTAGTTAGGTTGCGATATTAATAAAGTATTAAGTACTTACATGTGGTGTATATAAGTTTTCTTTTAAACATTTTGCTTTGATGTAAAAAGTTTTATTATGGGATAAGTCGGTAAACGAGCAGATGGAACACCTGATGGTAAGCAATCGGCGTCGCCCATGGTCATCTGGAATACACCAGGCGTTTTAAATACGTCACCGGCCTTTTGTGAAATATGAATTTGAGGATCGTTGGCGATGCAGGGGTTTTTGGGCCTCCGGTAACCTCACTCACAAACACAACGCAAGTAGTTTCACGTCGGTTTTCAGTGAGGCCGTGGTATCACTTCGGTCGAGCCGGCCCATTCGTGTCAAAGCATGGCCTTCCCATAGTAAAAAGAAACGGTGTTTATTCAATATATGTTTATTAATAAGTGTTTATTAAATAACGACATTATAACCATGTAAATTTCATAACTTTTTAATTTCCGAAGCAATAGGCAGAGATGCACAATGCACATTGCATTATTGAACACCCAATTTCATCAGTTTTAGCTCCTATGTAATAGTGACGATTTTTAAACAAATAATATTATGGTAATTAGGTATTAAATGATATATTTCTTCACAAAAATCTTGCGAGGCTCAGTCATCTAAGTGTGCCAAAATTCTAAGGTTTAGACTCAGTTCAGTCAGTTTCATTGGCGGAGATGGTACCTATGACTCCGAAAACTTTTATTGTTTTTAGCTTCTGAAACAAAATAATTGTGTTTGATTTAACATTAAACAATTATTCGACACAAACATTTTAAATCGAATATCTATTGAAAATCAAAGTATAAAAAAGTAAATAGATAAGTGCAAGTAAATATTTTTATTTAAAAATAATTTAGAGTCATCCAGGTGGTGATGATATCTGCAAAATGGCTGGTACTGCTGGTAGTATGGTCAGTAAATCCGACGAACTGAAGATCGACCTCATTGAAGACGTCAATGTCTAGCATTTTTTTTTGTAGGATATAAACACTCGTCGTTCTACACTCTAAAGGAGGCCATACACGCTAGAGTTTGCATGATGGTTATAACTTTGCTTGCAAAACCGACAAAAATAACCGCGCACCGATGCACCGATAACTGTACAGTTTAGTTACATACACGCTAGTGCTTGCCTGTCAGTTATGCATGTACGGCTAAAACCATCATGCAACATGCACGTGTATGGCCTCCTTAAGGCTGTTGCCTTAGAGTGCTTTCGAAGAGAAGTAGTCAACAGACTACTTAACTGGACCAAGTGTCTAGCAGAAGATGGCAACTCTTATACACGATGTCGCGGAGAACCTAACGGGTAACCGGGGCCCCGGCTCGACGTGCAGGAGAAGGAACGGGGTGGTTTTTAGTCAGTAAGAGTCTGACACTCCCTTCCGCCTCACCCAGGCGGGAGCAGTCATTCGATGATTATCCCCCCTTAAAAACAAAAAACTCTTATACACGATAGTGTTAAAAAGTAATCTATTGTTTTCCGTCCCTTTTATGTGAACCGAAATTGCCACAAGTGTTACCTAGGTACCTAGGTACATTAAAGTTATAGAAAACATTAACTCAGACAATAGCGTCCATACAAAACATTATATTACCAGGTATTTAGTTATTGAATGAAATGTTATTTTTAACTTTCTATAGATAAGAGAAACAATAGATGTATCCCTTTGAAGTTGCCGCCACCGCGCCACCCGCCGTCGGCGCTTGTTGCTGGGTAGCATTTCTTAGTTAAACGCAAAATAAATATTAACATGACGTGGTTATTTAAACACGTGTTTGGTTAAAATAAACCTAACTACTATCTAAATACTGTAGGTATAAGTAAGTTGATAAGTAAGTTGTTGATTATCAAAATTAATTTAAGTATTTTTATCAAAGTCAAAGCATTTATTTCAATTAAACCATAGTTTGGTACTTTTGAAGCGTCAACAAATACAAAATAAATAATAGTCTGTCAGTCAGTCCGTCAGTAAAACTAGATGAAGTTAGGTACTCATTCCAAAATGTAGATTCGAATGGAGAAGAACGAGAAAGAAACTCCATTCGTTACTCTTTTAAAAAAAGTATGTTCTATACAATGCCTCTGATACATATTTCAATACTGTACGCATATGTAAGAATAATGCAAAGACACGCTTGACGCATTGTACTAATAACTTACTAAAATAAAAAAAAAAAAAAATCTTAAAGTCTAACATGGTGTTCACATGCGCATACTGACAATATATCAATGTAAAAATGGTTTAGTAAAAGCTTCTTTCTGCAAGAATTATTCTGCATAACAAATGCAGATAAGTAGTACCTATTTAATTCATACTAAAATATAATAATAAATTAAAAAAAATACATTAAATAGATAAGGACCTATTACTTGCATTGCTCATAACTCCATAAGTTATCAATAAGTGGGTATTCGATTGAGCAATAAGTAGTAACACACAATTAGGTACACACTTTATTAAAGGTAGAAGAAAAAAACATTTAAAACAATTTTCGCACTATTTAGTTTATAGTTACCAGGTAATTGACACTTACCAAATATTATCACGACTTTAATTTTTCTAAGGGGTAGACAGAGTTTGTATCTACCCACCTTTCGCTAGTTTTGCTACGAGACACAACGTAAGTATAGGAGTGAGTTTATTCATGCTTAATAAGTACCTATTGCTTATATGGACGGAGGTGAAATTATAAACAGAGTTTTTATAAGTCACTCATTCTCTAGTACCTATCCAATACAAAATGTTTTATAGTATTTCACAATATTGTATAAATAATTCAAGGCCCTACCTTTATGTAGATTACTTGACTAGACTAGATACAGGTAAATATACTAAAGTCAAGACATTTGCAAGTTATAACTAACGTAAAACATAAATCACACGATAGTTTATTATATCGGGGTCGAAGATATTAACAACTGGAAGCAGTCAAGTCCGGTCAAGGCAGTGTAACTGTTGAATATGTATTTTAGCTGTACTTATTTATTTTCTACTTGCACTAGTTACACTTAGATACTTACCTATTTACAACTGATTTTTTCTAGACGTTTTTATAATAATAAATGACTTGAAATAATAAAAAAAACAATTTAGCTTTTTTTGCATTTATAACTTTATTATAGGTACCTACCAAATAGATTAGGTGAGTACTCGTTTATTTACGTTTAATTGTTTAGTAAAAAAAAGTACGGGTAGGCTAAAGAAATTTCTCACAAGAGGCGCACTTCATTATGGCAGTGTTCATTATTTTTGTAGTAATTAGGCAAATGAAACGCGAGTGCGGCAGAGTGCGGCGGCGGCGCGGCGGAGTGCGGCCGGCGGGCGCGGGCCGGCGCAGGCCGGGCGCCGGGGCGGGCCGGCCCGGCTGGCCGCGCTCATTGGCCGCGCCCGACACCGCCCTCCGAACCGCTCACCGTCCCACCCGACTGCTACGCTCCCAGCCTAGGTCGCCTCCTTCGACTCGCTCAGTCGCGTTTGCTACGCCGCGTGTGATGTATCTTGTTTCTCGTGCCGGCACCTGTTAACAGAACGGTGGTGTTGTGACAGCGAGTGTATGTGAGATGCTCGGACGGTGATCAAAGCATGGTGAATTACGTCAACCCGCTCGCCATGTACCAAGGCAAGGGCGGGCAATACGGCACCGGCTGGTACGGTTGGCAGCACCAAAACTTTGAGGACCAACAGTGGTGTGCGTGGAATGGAGCTCCCGCGGGTGGCGAGTGGGCTCCGGATCCTCATCACTTCCCGAAACGTGAGCCCGGGGAGAGGGAAATAGCAGACTTACCGTCTCCAGCTCGTGGTGATTTGGCCAGCCCCAGTGAAGGGTCGCCAGGATCCAGGCCTGCACAGCCACCTGCCCCCCCGCGTTCCCCATATGAATGGATGAAGAAACCCAACTACCAGACACAACCCAATCCAGGTTTTTATCTTTTTTAATTTTTTAATAGCTATAAGTCTATATAGTTACATTATAAACGCATATAGGTATACACAACCATATTTATGTATGTATCTATACAGCACTTACTTTGTTGTACTGTAAAATTTCTAACCGCGTCGACGGTAGAAGTTTTATTCTTACTACCAGCGCAATCAAAACATTGCAATCATGATTAAGGTTTGTACTACAAATCCATTTCAATCTAAAATTAAAACATTTACTTATTATTGATGACTCAGTTTTCTTGGTGTTTTGTAAGCAATCACGTTTAAACTATGTTATCATCATATCCGTATGCTAGACATTCAGTGTTAGTATAAACGAGGGATTTCCATGTTATCAATTACTACATATTTAGGTTTGTAAGTAATTATTTTATATGATATGAATTACTTCTAAATACACAAACAATTTAATATTGTATTCGGTAAATATGTGGATGTATCTACCTACCTATTGAGAAGGGTAACTTACAAAATGCCTAACCTATGTATTGAGTTAAATTTCCTTCATTGTAAAACTGTAAGATTTAATTACTTAAACGCTTGAATGCATCGATATGAGACACAATAGAAAATACATTGTGGTTTCGCGTGGATCCGCGTTTAGAAACATGAAAGGTTGATAGACAATTTTAGACCCTGGAATACATATACCTAGTACTTAAATGGAAACGGCCGCATGGGCCGCTGGGCCGCAAAATGCCGTGGTTGGCGACGGAGCAGAATACGTTTTTCTACCAATTGTAGGTACTCTTTACATGGTAGCCGTAGGAGCCAACTGAGACCGAGGCCCCATTTGTCCATTGCGTTGCGTTGCGTGTTGTAGCAACGGAACAACACACTGTACGCACTAGGGTTGCGACGACGCATCACGTCGGATTCAGACGCCGTAGTACGAGTTTCTTTTTCGTTTAAAGTAATCGAAACGAGACGGCGTTCTGTGCTCTGATTGGTTGGTCCATTAGAGCCGGCCAATCACAGCGCCGACCGCGTACTCGTACTAAGGCTCCAGATACGAACGTGATGAATGTCCGTTGACGCAGCACATCACTCCCGTTTCGTTTCTTGTATGTCGATCCGTTGAGACGTCACACGCGACGACGCAACACGCCTATGCATGTCATAAGAAATATATGGAAGACAATGCTGCAACGACGCAACAAACAAGTGAAGGCTCGCTCTACATTTTACAAAGACCGAACAGCAGCTCTCTGATATTTGAACCCGTTAAACCAGGATCTTCATCCTACTTGTCAAGTGTTGAGATTTTAGCAAACACTTTTATGTAGAGGGCTCCCACAGTCTAACAGTGGATTGTTACGGGCGCTTGATGAAATGGAGTCCATAAATTAATCCCTACATTTGATTAGCTATAGCAAGCCTATATGTTGAATACTGATAACGATAAGGCCTGAAAGGAAAATATTGATTTCCCTGTTCTGCCTGTCGCATTCCGAACCACTGATTCATTATTATCTAAACTTGAAATAAATAAAATATTGAAATAACTACCGAAATTAGTTGTTGTTTTGGTTAGGTATGATATTACGATATATACCTAATAATATTGGTATTTAGTGCTTGTACAAATAATGATAAAAGGAAAGCGATGCTAAGTATACACATGGTACGGAAGATATAGCTATTCATATAAGTAGGCAATTATTTGACGGAGTAATTCAATTAGTTTTCAACTACTACATATAGCCAATCATTGTGCAGAAATATTTACCAAAAAAGTTAAAAATAAATACCGAAACTTTCAGTGCCCTTTAGTCTAGGTATATAAATCAAACAATTTAAATCTTAATTATTTCTAATTTAAACTAACTACTACCCAACGCCGCGTAGTGTCGTCGCGCGTCGCCACAAAAATGGAATGTAACAAACATTGATGACAGTTTTGCTACATGTAAAGGTGTCATATACTACACTTAAACAAGTCTAATTAGTATCTATCTCTAGTGAAACAATAAAACTATAAATGTAAACATTGAATAATAATAATTAACATAACATAACATAACATCACGATTGTGTCTCCCTGAAGGATGGTAGACGTGCACATTACGGCACTTTAATGCCACTGTACAATGTAACAGCCACTTGTCACTATTTATGTTATGAGTCCCATGTAATAGCCTCACAGATATATTAAAGAAGAATAACCTATTGCCATATATCGGGCACAATTACAGACTCTGTGCTACTGTTTTTTTTTAAACCCAGTATACTTTGCCCGACCCGGCAAAAGTTACTCATAATTAAACCCCAAGTAATGATAAAATAAGATTTAAACTGAACCTACATTTACATACCTATTATCAGGATACCTGTTAATATTATATAACAGATTAATTTATATGAACCTATCGGATAATAACTAATATTAAAATGATGTGATCTCCTAACACTGAGGAAGCACAGTGTATTTACTTTCTTAAACAACTCCCGTTAAACTTAGTGTTTCCAGAACTCTTTCGACTGTCTCATCCATTCATCTACATCAAAAACCGATGTGATTCACGCTGCGTGAACCGACGTTCGAGTTGTGTTTCGCGCTCCTAGCGACTATGCGCTTGTCACACTTTTTCAAAAAGTGATATTGAACTATGAAGTAGCAAACCCGGCGAACTCCGTTTCGCCATCAGATGGCTTAATTTTATGTAACATTTCGTTTGGTGATTATAATTGAATTTTCTTTGTTATAAACCTCATGGAGCCCGAGACCTTTCCAACGCATGCAAAACCGTGGACCTTGGTTCATGCGTTCTGGAGTTATAGCGTCAGGAAGGAAAACAAGACTTATTTTTATATATTAGATAAAGAAGCTAGTCATCGGAAGGAAAAGGTTACTAAACCTCTGTTTTACTGATGATAATGTACTGCTTTACCCTTCAGCATACAAAAGCTATGCTAGGACAACCAAAGCAATGTCCTTGATCTGTAAAATAAGTACAGCGAGCGTTGAGGTTGGCCTGAAGATGATTATTTTGAAAACCAAATTAATAACTTTTGCCCTTCAAATGCGTTGCAAAAGTTATAAATGCTGACGAAGAATCTCTGAGAGACATAAGTACATTCGGCTCAACTTCACCTATGGCGTTCAAACTTTGTCTTTGACAAAATATCAGACGTCAGCACTGAAAGTTGGCCACCTCTATTCACCTAAAGAGAGTTATACAATATTATGTAAGTGCATCTGAAGTGTCTGATCTATATATATAAAAGAAAGTCGTGTTAGTTACACTATTTATAACTCAAGAATGGCTAAATCGATTTGGATGAAAATTGGTAGCGAAGTAGCTTAGAACCAGGAGACGGACATAGGATACTTTTTACCCAATTCTTTTATTTACTTTTTACCGAAAATCGAGAACGGGAACGGGAAATATCGGGATTGCGTGTACGAAGTCGCGGGCAGAAGCTAGTTTATTATAAAGATTAAAAAAAAACCTCTAAACTTGAAAAGTTCAAACGGAACGGGGTTAGTCATGGTTACTGTATTTTGGACGACTGGTAGGCGAAACTCACTTATTTTTATTATGTTATGACATGTAGTGCAGTGTGAGCAGGCAGCCTTTTCAGTACAATAAAATAGCTATTTACAATAATTATTTTGTATTGTATTTTGCTGACAATTTTGCCAATAGCAAAATTTTGCTTAGCAGGTACGGACACAGTGCATCATTTACTCCCATTAAATAATTAAGGATTTTCAACCTTAACATGTACCGATATAGTTGAAAATCGAATAAAGAATTCTACCACTTCTAGTTATGGATAACCTTGCTATGGCATCTATACTAAATATAACGTAGACAAAGTAACCATAACTTCTAGTCGGCATTTCTTTTATCACTGTTCAAAGTGGCCAACGACCATAAAAAAGTTAACTATTGAAAAGTTCCACAAAGATGTAAACATTGTTCATTTGATGGCTCCATTAGTTTAGTAATTACCTGGGCGTTATAGTTTTTAAAGCTTCTTTATGAAGTCAGGTGTAACTGACACTGACCTTAGGAAACTGTCCTTTATGAATCCTGTTTAATACGTTGTGCCTGTTACATAAGTTACATTTTATGACTAGCCTGACGCCCGTGGCTTTACCCACGAGGTTGAAGGAAAAGTAACTTAGATATTACTCTCCACCCTTCCAAAACATAATTAATATCTAAATGTCAAAATGGTGCCATTTTAAGTACTTAATAAACAATCAAATAAACATACTTAGGCAATTACAATATTAGTAAAGGATGTTGAATTGATATTGTTATAATTTTGGGCTCGCTGCTTTGGCAGCGGTAAGAGTCTCTGAGGAGTGGCTTGAGAGACGCTATAGTGTCCTCACCTACCGCTTGCTTACCAGACATGGGAGTGCAGGGAGGTATCTGTATCTGTGTCTGATGGGGGGAAGAGACGCCCGCGTGTCATCACTGCGAGGACAGCCCTGAGGACACGGTGGAAGCATATCCTGCATGGGCTTAGGAATGTGATCACTGATCAGCGACGGCGGTCGGCGACCTCTTGCGTCCGGCCCTAGTCCGGGCCATAATGCGGAGCGAGGAGAACTGGGATGCCGTCTCCTCCTTTTACGAAGCAGTCATGCTAGCTAAGTAAAAGGCGGGGTGCGTGAGGCAGCGAAGTGCTGCCTCCTCACAACCCAGCCGTCGTGAAGGATACTCCGGGTGTCGGGGATAGCGGGACGATGTCCGGTCACCGTAAGCACGGGCCTGCGAACGGCGGTCGGGTATCTCGCTACCCGACCGCGACCGGAACCAGACCCGATCGTACGGCGCGTCGCATTCCGCGCGCTTCTCAAAATGCCATCAGACTACCACGGATGGGGCCCAAGCCCAAGCCCCAGCCGCGGAGAACGTAAAAGGTTACCGGGGACAGGCTAGAAATGCAGAAGTAGGAACGGGGTGGTTTTTAGTAAGAGTCTGACACTCTCCCGCATCGATAAGGTGTCATTCG